GATTCTATGATTCTATGTCAGCCCTTGCAGGCAGCTTCTGGGTTTGGAAGAGAAGCGCAAATTCGTTCTGCACGTGTGTGAGGAGCCCAAAGAGATTTGGGGCCTTAGCAGCATGAGCGATGGCGCTTGTTGCTCTTAAGGGTGCTGTTGGTAGTGTCTGTGGATTGACCTGCTTTTCACCTCTTGTGATCATTTGTTTAGAAAAAAAAAACAAAACAGAGAAGGGGGTATGTTGGGTGTAGGGGTGTGTTGAGTACCCTGGTTTGGCAGATATACCACTGAAAATAGTCTGCAGGGCAATTGTTTATGGGTGAAAAGGGACACTCTAGTTGGATAGTCTGTTGGCATGTAGTTCAAGTGTCATCTCATGCTGACTTGATCTCTTGTCTCCCTAAGGTGCCAACAATGGCTGTAGAGAAAGTCTTTGTATACAACAACACATCCATTGTGCAGGATGAAATTCTGGCTCATCGCTTGGGCCTCATCCCTATCCGAGCTGACCCTCGACTCTTTGAATATAGAAACCAAGGTGAGAGTCTTGGATCAAAAAGAAATATTGAAGGTTTCCCCCAAAGCAGGAAATCAGAGTCACATAAACTGAGCAGAAGTGTGATTCCATAGAGGCTCATGCTGTTCTCCCCTTCCCAGGAGATGAAGAAGGCACAGAAATTGATACTCTGCAGTTCCAGCTGAAAATAAAATGCAGCCGAAACCCTCAGGCAGCCAAGGAATCATCTGATCCTAATGAACTATACTTCAATCACAAAGGTGAGATCTCTCCTAAAAATAGGTGCTGTTTTTTTTTTTCTTTTTTGGTCTTGGGAGACAGAATTTGGTCTGTTCTCTCAGCCCTGTGAGCAGAGGGAGCCGATTCCCTCATTCTGCTAAACTTAATTTTTGCCATCTCTGGTCCTGTATGGGTCAGTGACCTGTTTTGAAACAGCGGCTGGCTGATGCTTGTGGCTTCTCTTCGCAGTGTACAGTAAACATATGACGTGGGTGCCCTTGGGGAATCAGACAGACCTCTTTCCAGAGGCTGACTTCCGACCTGTTCACGATGACATCCTCATTGCGCTGTTGCGACCTGGCCAAGAAATAGATGTGCTCATGCACTGTGTCAAGGGTATAGGTGAGTCGTGGGTCCTGAAGTGGTGGGAGGAGGAGTGTGAGTGCTTGGACTAGAGCACAGCTGTGTGAAGGGCAAGGGTGGAGAACTGGCTTTCCCCCTGGAACTTTAGGCCCTGGCATCCTTGCACGCTCATTCCCTGAGGCCTGCCCTCATCCTTGACTCTTAACTCTTCATGCAGGTAAAGATCATGCCAAGTTTTCTCCCGTGGCCACGGCTAGTTATCGACTGCTTCCTGACATTACTCTCCTGCAGCCTATTGAGGATGAGGCAGCTGAATTGTTGCAGAAGTGCTTTTCCCCTGGAGTCATTGAGATCCAGAATATCAAAGGTACATTTTTCCTGTTCTAAGTGCCTTTTTCTTTACAAGCCTTAGCGGAGACTGATTAGAGACTAGAGCCTAACCTTGTAGAGACAAAACCACGTTGCGATCTTGCCTTGCCAATCAGCAACCGTTCATGCTATTCTGAGCCTGGTTTTATGGATGTCACATGCAGATGTGTTGGGTGATGAGCTGAGATCTCCCTGAAGTGCTGCTAAGGCATTGGGTGCCTGTCTGCAGAGCTCTGCAGCTGCTGACTGCAGCTCCCGGTGCTGTTCGGTTGTCTGCAAGACTGGGTAGTGAGCTTGCTCTTTCCAGCAGCTGGGCGTGGAGCAGACTTCTTGTGTCCTGCCCAGGGGTCCATACAAGTGTTTGTTGTGTTTGGGTTGGAACTGTTCAAGAAGACCAGTTCTGTCAGGTTGGAGTTTCATGTTGGGGATGTGCTAATTCTTTATATTGGTGGTTTCACTGCCTTTGCTGATGGGGGAGTGTGTGTTTGAGGGGTAGGCGTTTGCTGTGACCACAAGGCATCCATCTGCTGCAGGCACCCATCTTGTTTCATCTTTTCCCCTTTAGGAAGAAAGGTGGCAAGAGTAGCCAATGCACGGTTGGACACGTTCAGCAGAGAAGTTTTCCGTCATGAGAGTCTGAAAAACCTTGTGCGCCTGGCAAGAGTACGAAACCATTACATCTGTAAGTGCCCCATTTTCCACAGAACATAGAGCCCTGCTGTGGTCTGTGCAAACAAGCAGAGACTGGCCAGCATCTATAGCTGGGGTCTCTGCCTCCCGTTCCGCCTCCACATCATCAGCATTCATACATCCATATCGCAGTGGGTAACTGCTAAGGTTGTGGTTTGGTGTTGCTTTGGGATTGAAAGTGTGTGTACTTCCTGCTGGCAAATGTGACCTCTTCTCCTCTGGCTGTGAAGATCTGACTTGTCAGAAGTTTACGGTTGGATTTGATGATCTGTGAGGTCTCTTCCAACCATAATGATTCTATGATTCTAGAAGTGTGGTGTAAGGGAAGACGAGGGACAGAAATTCTGGAGCCAGGTGTAGGCTGAAGCTGCCCGGTGCCTGTGCTGACTTGTGTCTCTGTGCAGTTTCAGTGGAATCGACGGGTATCTTGCCTCCAGATGTGCTGGTGAGCGAAGCCATCAAGATCCTGATGGGAAAGTGTCAGCGCTTCCTGAATGAGCTGGACTCTGTGCCTATGGAGTGACCAGGCTGTAGCTGGGAAGCATCTCCCTGCACTGCTGCTCTGGGCTTCCTGCACCTGCCTGCAGGGGGGGATTCTTCTTCCATAGGCAAGAGGTTTGAGATGGGCTTGTTAAGAGTCCTCAGACCACCTCTTTGAATTTGTTTTCTGTTGGTAAGGAGCCTCAGTGAGGAGTTGCACTAAAATAAAGGCTTTTCTTTACAGCTGTCTCCTTCTGTGCGGTTCACAACTGTGAGACCGTAACACACAGACAAGAAAGTGGCAGCAGGTCTAAAGATGCATAATAGTATTTATTTTAAATTGTGTGCAGTATGTGAAGAGGACTGATATGGCAGTGTAATAAAGCACTTCGCAGCAGGTCGGTGAGATTTAACAAGTCAGTAGCAGTGCAGGACTGTTTTGCAGGTGTCTCAAACCAGCTCTGGGGTAGTTAATGTGGTAGATAAAAGGTTGTACTGTCAGAGAGCTCGGACACCTCTCCTGTGAGGAAAGGCTGAGAATTAGGATTGTTCCGCCTGGAGAAGAGAAGGCTCTGGGGAGACCTTATTGTGGCCTTTCAATGTATAACGTGGCATTTCTCAACAGAGAAAGGGTTTTTATGAGGGCCTATAGCGACAGGACAAGGAGCAACGGTTTTAAACTGGAAGAGGGTAGACTTAGATTGGACATAAGACATTTTTTACAATGAGGGCAGTGGCGAGCTGCTGGCACAGGTTGCCCAGAGAAGCTGTGGCTGCCCCATCCCTGGCAGCATTCAAGGCCAGGCTGGATGGGGCGTTGAGCAACCTGGTCTGGTGGAAGGTGTCCCTGCCCATGGCAGGGGCGTTGGGACTAGGCGGTCTGTGACGGTCCCTTCCAGCCCAAACAATTCTGTGATTCTATGATACAGTACTGGGCTTCTCTGTGCAAAGGCGGGGTTTAAAAAACATTCTGTAAGGACTGACTGCCACCTTAAGTATCTCAAGGTAAGGTATTTCTTCCCAGGGATTAGATTTGACTACTCTGTTCTGCCCTTAGGAAGGCAGGCTGGGTAGAGCAGAGGCCTCAGGTCTTACTGAAACGGATAAAAGAATAAAAATGAAACATGACACCATGAGTATGAAACTGGAATAGCTTTACTGACATTCAGAGGTGTAACACAACCAGTTCAGAGACAGCTTCGGATTTAAACATTCCTACAAAAAAGGTTCTAAAAACCATTAAAAAAAACCCCCTCGTGTCTAGCATGAAGTCACAGAATGTTAAAAATACCACAACACAATAAATACACCCAGCCTTTGCTAGAGCCAGGAGCCATGTTAGCTCAGAGGTTAAAAAAACCTGAGGCCAGGAGGAAAGTGGAGGGTGCTGGTGGAACAGCAGGGGCAGGAGGGCAAGTGGATTCCCAAGGCCTGCTCTTCCCTTCTGTGCTCCCACTCTTCCCAGCCCCAGCTTTTCTGTCCAGATGTGCAAGTGGAGAGACCACCTTCTCCACCCACCACAGTTTATTACTTGTTCCGTCTCCTGGATGGCGAATCGGCCAGTTAGCTCTGGACAGACCCTCCCAGCTCCTGTGCTAACGCTAGGATAGATCAAGTGAACCATTTGTCATGTAAGAAGAACCAGCTTTGCAGACTGGAGTGGCTTGATAGGAGTCCCACCTCATCTAAAACCCAGTTTCTGACCTGGCTCCCCCCTGTAAACTGCAGTATAAACCCCACCCCTCCTGCCCCACCATGCAATTCTCTGAGAAGTACCAGACTGGGTAAAAACACCGACTACTGTCACCTCCACAGCAACAGGGTGAGGAGATCCCTTTTGGTTTGCAGGTGCTTCAGGTATTGGTCCAGATTTTATGTACCCTGCACTGGCCATGTTCTAGTCTACAGGGCATGGTAAAAAGAAAAAAAATAATAAAAAAAATCTGTCCTGCTCCCCCTGAGAGATGTCCAAGAAAGGCTGGCACAAAATAAAAGCCTTCCGTTTGGCTCTGGGTAGAACAAGCTGTATGATCACATATATACATATATATGTATATATATGTATGACAGTGTCTGCCTCTTTCTAGAGAGCAGCTGCACCTTAGAAAGGCTGATCTCGAGGGAGATCCTAGAGCACTGCTAGGCTTCCTGGCACGCAGCCCTCAGCCCAAGGCTCAGCATCCTGGAGGGAAACGGATTCATCAGAATACCAGTCCTAGGGACAAGTGCTGACAGGCACGACCGGAGTGTCTGATGTGTTCCCTACGCAGCCTGGCTATTAGCACCCAGAGGAAGATGAGGGTAGCCCCTTTTCACATGGCGTGCTACTCTGCCTTTTGCATTAATCCTAAACCCCAAGGGATGAAGAGGTGGAGCAAGAGTGACCCAAGGCTACAGGATGACCAGGCTTTACCTAATGGAGTCTATGGGCTCAGCTCCCACCTTGCAGAGAAACAGAGGTCTAAAGATGCTCATCGAATGGAGGGGAGGGGAAGGAATCAGGGAAAGCTTAATAGACTGGTTCAAATGCCACCGCAGGCCCCATCCCAGCGTAGGGAGGAGAATGGGACAGGACCCATCAGGGGCTTTATTCAGACGAATGCTTGTGGAGGCAATGACAAGGAGAATCTAATGTGCTTACTAGGAGGAGAGACAAAATAGAAGGTAGGGGAGGAGATGGTTGCAGCATCCCAGGCTCAGGGCTCAAAGAGTACAGTGAGGCCCTCTCCATCCTCATTTTCTAGCACGTCTGTCTCCAGCGATGGCTTCACCTTTTTGAAGAGAGATGGGAGGTTCCGGATATGAACCTCCTTGCGGAACTGCTCCCCGAGGGGCTTCTGCAGAGGACAGACGGGCAGGCATCAGTCATTACTGCCTTCATACCCCGACTCAGCTCAGGGGCAGCCTGCTTGCAGATCAGAGGCAGACCCCAGATTATGAGCAATCCCTAGGCCCGAACCCCGGGGCTGCATTTTGGGGAATCTCAGGCCTGGTCCTTCCCAAGTGCCAGGGCCCTGAGGTAACCAGCAGTGCAGCAGCTCCCCAGCTTCTACCTCAATGCCACCAGGCTCCAAGGCCACCATCCTCACAAAAGCCCAGCACCCACCTAGCGGCTTTGTTCAAACATTTTAACACCCCATTCCCCCAGGCACCCTTGTGCAAGGTACCCCCTGCCTCTCAATGGGAAGTGATTGCTGGAGGGGCTGCTCAGTCTGTGCTGCCATCCCCGCTGTACCTCCAAGTTGAAGAGAGACAGAACAAACACCAAGAATATGCTGCAACAGCCTCCTGGCTGGGAAGGGAGAGGCAGCCAGGCTGGCCGCCCCATCACTTCTGCAGGGTACGGGTGTGAAATGAAACAGGTTCGTTTCCCTCCAGGATATCACCTACCCCAATGCAACCTGCGATGAGGCGCTTGAAATGATCCTTCCGGCGCTTGTCTGCCACCTTCTGCAGTGTTGGGTTAAGAAGTTTGGAATCGAACTGCTCCAAAGAGTCCCTCTGGATATCTGGGACCTGGTCCATCACTGCCTTCAGCTCGGCGTAGCGAGGGCGCTGCAGGGAGAAGTATGGTTAACACAGCTCTGCTAGAGGAGCAGCCCTGCCCTCCTGGGGGGCCGTTAGCTCCTCGGCCCCTACCCAGGCCGGCATGAGGTCAGTTTTCCACCACTCCCCAGCCAACCTTGCATCTGGATAAAGAGCAGAATTTCTCACCAAGGCCTCATAGATCTGGAAAGCCAGGTGGACAAGAGCTGCCATGCAGCCATCGTGCTGCCCGTGTGTCTGTAAGCCCTTCAGCACACTTGTGAAAAACCAGGACACGGCATCGGGCAGGAGGTTTCCTGGAAGCACCTGAGGGAAGAGGCACTGTCAGCACAGAAGCAGGATACTGATACATGACTGCCTTTCTGCAGCAGCTCGGTCTTCCCGAGGGAGAAGGTGCCCAGGGGTGAAGCAGTCACACTTCTCCCTAGGTTCAGAGCTTCCTCTCCCAACCCTGCCAGAACTAATTCTTTCTCCCTCCCAGAGGTACCTGTTTGAGCAGCGGCCAGCAAAGCTGCGTTGTGGTTCTTTGGCAGGACAAGGTGTCCTTCCAGGAGAGGGATGTGTAGGCAGTGATCAGCAGCGCAGTGCAAACATCCTGAAAAGGAGTCAGGGAAAATCAGTCAGAGGAACTATTTCCCACCTCCAGGGTTCAAACCTGAAGGGAGGCAAGAAGCAACCCAGGGATTCTGCAGGAGCTCCTTGGGGCTATCTTCTGAGAACCCTGCGTGCTGCTGCTGCTGCTCCAGCTGAAGGTGCTCAAAGGCACCCAGTGTGCACCATCATAGCCATGAGGAACCAACGCCAAGCAAGCCTGCTCCCTTCATCTCCCCTGGAAAGGCCCTGGAGCACCCATGGACTCCCATCAGCTGTAACTCTCAGGTCACTGCAAAAGCTTCTGCAAGAGCTTCTGAGGCATCCGCAGGAGAGGAGGAGTACAGAGGTATCGGGATGAAGGTACTCTGCAGAGTGGGTTGTGTTAACATTGTGGCTACTGTGCCAGCTCTGGCAGATTTTACAGAAAAAAAGAGCTGCTGATTGAAATTCTTCCTCATGAAGGCTCGAGCCAAGGATGGAGACGGAGCCAGGGAGCACCCTGGGGGCTGAATGCCCAGGGCCTTGCCCGCAGAAGGGCTGAAACTCTGCAGCTGCCTGTTATACTGGATCCCAACCCCCATTTGCTTTGTGGCTTCTGCAACCATTAACAAGGCTCTTTAAAAACACGTATAGAAACACAGAATTATAGAATAGCTTGGGTTGGAAGGGACCTTTAAAGGTCATCTAGTCCAACTCCCCTGCAATTAGCAAGGACATCTTCAACTAGATCAGGTTGCTCAGAGCCTTGTCCAGCCTGCCCTCTCACACTGGGGAACCCTCCAGCAGCCTACATCTCTCTAGCAGCGTCTGGCTGCACCACAGACAAGGACGACAAAGAGTGATATGAGAAAGGATGGTGGAAGTCAGAGCATTTGCTCTTACCTCTTGCTTCATCAGACACTTGCCGAGCTCGGTGAGCTCTGCGCTGGCAGGGGGAGTCACCTCCGTGGCCATCGCTTCATCATCTGCAGAGCAGAACAAAGGCAGCACTGTGAACATGGCTGTCCCCGAGGACCCAGGGAGACACAGGGAGGCACACCGAGAACTAAACTGGGAGCCAGGAGACCGCACACAGAACCAGTACCCTGGCACAGCTTGCCAG